ACGGTTGTTCGCAACGCGGGAATTGGCTACGCATGTCCACGGACGTTTTGTTTTTATGACGTTGCCTGTAATTTACTTACATGAATGTCTGCATGTGGCAGATTGTACAGATTGGATTCTTGTGATGCTGGCTGTTTTAATATTGGGTTCATACAAACGCTACAAAAGCTACAGTGAGAATCCACACTTTCTTAAATTTTGTTTGTGGTCATGTCACATAATAATACCCAGGTTTCAATGAGGTTAACTGCAATCATCATCACATTGTTATCTTATTTTTTTAAAGCAGTTGGTTCTGTCAAATTGCTTTGTGTAATTGTAGAGATAGTACTTTTATACAAAGTGCATTAACGCACGCATCCCATCCAAGGTCGAAGGTGGCTCCGTCACCCGAGCTCGGGGGTACCGTTAACCCTGACCTAGCGCGGGAGGTGAAGGATATTCCTACTACGGCCTCCCTCCACCCCGCGGGGGACCGCACGACCTACCCTGAACACCACTTGCACTGAAACGGTTCAAGCCTTCCCCTCGTCACATCACATGGCTTTCATACAGCTGAAACAGATTACCTAAATACGCAACTTTATCACCACAGGAAAGTTTCGAACAGGGCGATGCATGCCGCGGTGGCACGGAACTATAAATTTTGGCAGGTACTACATAAGTGTAAGTCGGTCCTTTGGACTGCATTGTAACAGTCGCGGCTTACGTATCGCGTTCAAGCGATCTAAGCAAAGAGATATAATTTCTTTAGGGGTTTTATGAAGGTTAACGGATAATGTTTCCTATTAATTTCCGGTTAGATCTAGATTACTTCCACACGCTACCATCAGTAACATAACAAAAATAGAAACAAATTTTGGTCTTTTGAGTCGATTTCTGAACATCATTAGATCTAAACTATAAAATTGGAAAACTTAAAAATCTTAATGTATTTTTATGAACTTACTAATACTAATTACTTTGAACTGGAACTGTAACTAGTTTCCTTAGTTGTCGAAGTTTGTACGAGACTTCGTTAATTAAGAACCGTCGCTCGGTGGTCACGTTACAGCGCCCAGCGCTTTGACAACTGTTCTGGCAATAATACACATCGGTATATATTGGGTCTTTAATGTACTAAGATGCAACCAGAGATATTTGATGACGAAAATTGTGACCATTAGTAAATGACTAACTAAACAGTGAAAAAGTGCTTTCTTTTTCCTTTTATTATTCAAAACGTTGCCCCACTCTAGGATTTTCTCCTCTGTCGTGGGTGCGTTTACAAACATACAAGTTCACATACACATGACACCTAGACCCGGTACAACAATATGAGGATCACACAAAGAGTACACTACTTGCGGGAATCGGCAAGCACGGTTGGTGCGGCAGCTGGTTTCCCAGCCATCGCACCAACCGTGCTTAAACAGAGAACAATAAAAATTCAACCCTTGATCGTACGTATATAGCAACTTCGTAACCGAAAAATACTGATACCTATTAACAGTATTATCGGTCTAACTAGCTAACAATAATTCCTAGAGTTCCGACTCTTACGTGTGGAAAACAAATGTATCGTTATCTTAAAAGTGTCATCCTCAGATAAGATAAATAAATATAAAAGTGGCCGCCACGTCAGTAATCAACATTCGAATACTTAATATATTATATCGATCGGAACACAACTTAATAAACCTTATCGATATAAAGGGCAATAATAAAATTAGGGCTAAATGTACCCAGAAGTTATTATGGTGTTATTATCTTATCTTTTGAAATAATCAAAATCTTTATATGAACTCATATTAAAGTATCGATCGGGAATTATTTCTGTGTACATTTTACTGTGATAAACTTGTTTTGTTTCATAATATTTCATAATCATTTACTAATGTAACTTTTTAGTACTACTTAGGTATCCGAATTAATTTGTTATATCATAATAAAAGGAAACAACAAATTCACCTATAACCGTTGAACTGACTATAGTAAAAATACTTCAACAAAGTTCACAATAACTTCACAAAAGTTATCAAGGTTTCTACGGATTAATGCCCCAGGTTTTTTAATCTTCTACACTTAAATTTTACACTAAAAATGTTATGTAGGAACAATTACACTCCTTCCCATCAGTTTTGTTGTTATAACACGCTAAACCACCATGAAAACAACGATAAAAGAGAAAAATTTCGACGTACAACATAAAGTATTAAATGTTACGACACCAAAGTGAGCCATTAAAGCGAATAAGTCATTCTGTACAATGAATGTTTTGAATTAAACAAACTTTGTTGTTTTCTTTGTAATGTTACTTTATAAAGAACATTCTACTGAATATAGGCACCCGTACAACCACGATGTTTACAGAAACACATTTAAGCATATGTTTTACAAAGCTTTCCTAGTTAATTATTACAAAACTTTTATTTCTTCTAGTTAGTAAATAAAATAAAATAAACCATGTCTATGTAAGTACAAGAGACGTTAAGTAAATAAACAATAACGCACCTAACTATTAACATGTTAAAGTTCATTTTCGAGAAGCCGTTCTGCCGAAATCTCTTCGTAGCACTTAGCGATCCAGACAGTTCCCCTGTTCCTTACCCAGGTGCGTGAATAAAGAAAGTGTAGGCGATCGATGAGACTTGCAGGCTCGCCAGCGGTTAACTTGCACTTACCACTTAGTGCATAGTGACGGCGGAGGGCGCCCGCCTCGAGACGCCCTTCCGCGCTCCGTCGCGCCGCCCTTGGGTTTCCACAACCGCTTCTCAAAGTATGCGCGCCTAGTACTTTCGTTCCGTACCAAACCATGTTGATCGGTTTCCAAACGGTATTTTTGACAATTGTGGTGATTTTTATGAAGTAAATTCAGTGTTTTTGGCATAGGATGCGTTTAAACTCCTACTACAATCAGCTATGGGATCTTGGAGTAAGACCTTTTTTTCACTCTTTATATTAAGTTAGTTTTTAATCTATTTATTTTATTTTGTTATACAATTTTATTAAATTCATCAGTGCATGTTATACAAATTATTTTCATATTTTTGTCAATGAATAATAAATAAAATACCTATTTTTTTTTTGTAAATCACAGATTTGTTCATGTCTTATTCAATTGCTAATTAAACAGTAAAACTTGTTCTTTTTCAAAAAAATCTACAAAAATTAATTACCTAAATAAAGTCCTCTCAATGTAACAACTTACGTATTTTACTAAACAGTAATATAGAGTCGGCAACTCTTTCTCACTACAAAAAATGATCGACATCTCGCATTTCATGTCAGTTTGTTCTGCGAGAATATTTCACCCTATCTCGGTACCCCATATGCAAACCCTCCGCTTAGGTAAGTTTGTTTTTAATCAGTGCATGAGTGATAAGGCCCCCCGAGGCTTCCCGGACCCTATCGCAATTTCCTCCCTCGAGGGGCAAACATAGGACGTTCAAACAATAGCAAATGTTGAATAGCTGTACACTTCCAAATAAATAGTTAAAATCTGTTTCGTATTTGACTCGTATTGTGTAAAAACACATCAAGGAAATAGTGCAAAAAGTATATTGAAATCCCTTGTGTAAAAATTTTGTGTGAGTTTCATTAAACTTCATGTAATCGAAAACCCTTAAACTGTCAAACACCAAGCGGTCACCGGTGACCGCAACCTATTGTTCTATAATTGTGTCTACAAAACCGGTACTCGACGAGTTAAGACATCGTCTTAAATGTACGTGATATTTACATTGTTCGTTAAAATTCATAGAATCAAAAAGCACTACATAAAATAGTCGACCAATACACAAGAAATGGAACATACTCAATACTCATCCTTAAAAATTTCGCTTAAACGTTGTAAACAACACTGATTGAGCGTCTTTGTGCACATACTAGCGACTAGCGAGCCAAAACTTCATGGTTGGATTGGTACAAACTTTACGACCGGACTTTGGTTTTCCAGAAATAGAGATTGGAACCAAAATTAGAAAAATATAAAGTAGGTAGTATTGTTTTTACCATCATTGAGTTCACCCACGGATCCCCATAACATTTTTAAATTATTCAGACTACGCATTACATAGAAATACAAAATATCCATTAACATGTTTTTTTTCTTGTTGACCGTAATTTTATTATATACCGTGATAAATGCGTATACGCGTCTTTTGTACGATAAATACTTTACATGCGCAACTTAAGATTTTTCGTTAAATTCTAATTTAATCTGGCAACTTTAAGTCCAAAAACTATCACGAGGGCCTTTAATAGTTCTTTGAACCCGGCAAATCTGATACGTCATAGATCCGTTTCCCCATCTTGGTCATATCCGAGGTCATTGAACTGCACGCGTGCCGAATTTGGGCAATTAAGCATAGGGTGTTCAAACATCGTGTTACGGAATGAAAGTCGGGGTACTTTAGGGGGCCGTTCTCACTTTCTGCGGGGTGAATGCACTGGCGGGGGAGCCCACCCTAACGCGACCCTCCCTCGGCCCTCCAGCCGCATCAAAGACACTCAATGAAGGCGGTGTAATTCCGACTAGACGCCAGGAATTGATTAATTTTTCCTGCTATCTCGGCAGCTTACAATCTTGTCTCGGTTGCATCTTCAACTCATAAAACAAGCAATTGAAATAAAATGAAAATGGCTACCCAGACATTCATAACTCTCTCGTCAGATACGACTTAAGTGAGTGACTGGAACTATCATTTATGGAATTACATTGTTCACAGGATGGCACGGTAAACATGGATAAAATGACGGAAGCTCAAAAAACCGCCTACTTGGAAGCTCATGTTGCTGTACAACAACATATGGCACAAGCGGCAGCCGCTGCTAGACGTGAACAGCAACAGCAACAGCATCAACAACAACAACAACAGCAGCAGCAACAACAACAACAGCAACAACAACAGCAACAACAACAGCAGCAACAGCAACAACAGCAGCAGCAACAACAACAGCAGCAGCAACAACAACAGCAGCAGCAGCAACAACAGCAGCAGCAACAACAACAACAACAGCAACAACAGCAGCAACAACAGCAGCAACAACAACAGCAGCAACAGCAACATCAACAGCAACAACAAAATAACAACAATAATAACGCCGCAAGACATCATCAAGAAATGCAGGTAAAATTGTCAAGCCACTACTTACCATCCTGATTTTCTATCGTCACACCCTGTAACATATATATATTTTATTTCAGAAATCAAATCAAATCATTTTCCCTCAACAAAGTCAGAATGGCAATGCTCATCAAGGTCATCCATCGCCACCTACAGTTAGTTCTACGCAACATCATTATGCTACTATCAATTCTCCAATAAAAGTACCACAAGTGAGCTCCAGTACTGGTGGACCAGACAGCACGTTCACAGTGCCTGATGATGTGGGCATGGGATTCGAGGGAGGGGTTCGAGTATTACAAAGTCTTGGCAATTGGTGAGTTTCTTAAATTAATCATTTTAGTAATCTTTTCAAATTGCTCTTGATCATTCCTTACAATCATCGCTTTTGGTAAAAGAAAACAATGTCTTGTTTTTATTTCTGCATGCTCATTGAAGTTTAGTTGTGAATTTCTCATTTTTTCTGAACTCTCAAAAATATAATATCCCAATCTTTCTTTCTGTCCGTGGCAGTTAGAAGAAAGGGTTATTATGTTTTTTTTATAAAACAGTTCGTTTGATTTTGCCAGGTCACCGGAGGTAACGCACAATATACCAAGGCCAAACTTGATCCCCTTCACGGAGCCATACGCCGAGGGTGGATCAATGCATCCAGGGACTAGGTTAAAAGCGTTGCAAACAACTTCTGTGAGAAAACATCCAGCGATAAAAGCCACAAGCTCTACAACTGAAGGTATTTTTATACAAAAGAAAATTCATTCATCGTCGTCATTATCCTAGGTTTATACAGTAAAAGCCTGATACATTTTTTTCCTACATTAATGATAATATTCTTGATATAACTGATGATTTCATAAATCATAGATCGTGTAATAACAATTATTTACGTTTTTTTACAGGCAGCAAAGCGTTCGAGTGCACTGTTTGTGGGAAAGGGTTAGCTCGTAAAGATAAACTGACAATTCATATGAGAATACATACAGGTGGGTTGGTATGAGCAGATTAATTTTACGAACTTGGACTTAATAAGTCTTTAGGTACACAGTCACGCGCACAAACCTGAATTTTAAAAGCGACTAGAAAATGAATTGAATCATCTAACACTACTTAATGAATATTTTAGGAGAGAAGCCATACGTATGCGAAGTTTGTAACAAGGCATTTGCACGAAGAGATAAACTGGTGCTTCATATGAACAAATTGAAACACATAACGCCATCGAACATAGCGCCTCTAGGTAAAAGAACCATCACAATACCACGTGAGTATGCTTCGTAATGGTGATGATAGATACCTTTAAGATATATCTTATCACTACCGTTGTGAGGTTTGTAACGGTAGTGAAGCATCTATGTGTAGAGCTGAACAAATATTTAGCTAGATTTTTGGATGATCTCTTTTTATTTACATGGAAATGTAATTGCGCTTTCTATTGCTTGTGAGCATTAGTTTAATCCCTACTACTTTTTATATTTCATAATTTCTGTGTATGCATAATCTCTATAAGAATGCCCAACCTAAAAGTCTAAACTTTAAACCTATTGGAATCTTTAGTTTGTGCTCGATTTTAGTCAATGTAGGCTTGCCAGGAGTAGTTGAAATTGATTATTCGAACAACAAAGTGACCCATTGGGTTACCTCCCTAAAGATCCTTTACTTTCCGCAGCTTTGAAATTGGACGATGTAAAGCCTCAACTTACGAAACAAGAGGACACAAAGCCAAGTCAAGCAGAAATAGCAGCGGCGGCAGCAGCTGCGCAGCAGCAGCAACAGCAGCAACAACAGCAGCAGCAGCAACAACAACAGCAGCAACAGCAGCAGCAACAGCAACACTCGCACCAACAGCCGATCCAGGTGTGCCAGGTACCTGGACACAACTTTACGGTAAATTCAATGAGAATACAAGGCATGGTTCGTAGGTGTTATCGATGTGAACCGCATGAATCTTCATTTGACTCTTTTCACGTTTCATCGTTGTAGTTTCCTCTGTCTCTTAAACTGTATGGTTAATTTCGGTCATCATTATTTTTCTGCATTTTCAATTTCATCCTATACATTATAGTATAGTTTTTAGATGTCTTAATTTTTTCGTTTTCATTCTGTAGAGTAATATTTTTATCAAATTCATTATTCTGAGTTTTCGTGTTTTGATGTTCTTAGTTCTATAGAATAAAATAAAATTGCTTGGTCCTTTCCTTAATGGAATTTACCTACTAAGCGATTTAAGTACAGCAAATGAGGCTTCAAAATTTATACAAGAAAGTATTAATTAGTCTTTGTAAATTGATGAGCGACACACATTGAGGAGCCTATTGTTTTCTCAAAGAAGTCGATAAAAATTTCTTAACACACATTTTCTTGTAAAATGAGAAATATTTAAGCCTTTGCCGCCTTGCAGAATACAAACCTGGTGCACACGAGTGCAGCAAGCGCTGCAGTAGCTGCGGCTACGGCAGGTATGGTCGTGTCGTGGTCGTGTGAACTATGTGGCAGACTGTTTGCGACTAGGGACGAGTGGAGCGCACACGCCAAGTCTCATCTACCCGACACAAAGTTACTGCAAGACAAAATGCAGCAGGCCACACAGCATCAGGTGAAATACTTGGTACATTGCCTACTTCGTATCGAAGGACCATGATGTTATTATTTGTAGAGTCAACTGTTATAATTATGTATGTTTATTTTTCCAGCAACAAGAAAAGGTGCACCTATCAAATCAGGAGAAGCTGCAACTACTACATCATCACAATCAGAACCAACAGATTCTGAACGGGCATGGGATCGCCACAGCTTCTGTGTCTACGGCGACGGTCGTCAACGAGGGAGGAGGCGGTGGGGGTGGCGGGGCTTATTTCACTCATGGTCACACACACTATGCACCAGAAAGACAGCACACGCACGCACACCACCTGTGTCTAATGTGCAGACAAGAGTTTGCAGGCAAAGCGGAGTTCATGTTCCATGTGAGAGGGCACTTCGAGGGCAAAGTGAGTGACATCGCGGCCGCTGATGTATTAGCCCGTTCATTAGTAGACAATTCTGGACTGTGCACCTGAGCCCCGCCAACGCCCCTCAGCGCATTTCACACCGAGACATGTAACAAGGCCGTCTACCAAGACGATACTATCATGTTGAAGTTTTGAGTCGCTAATTGCGAGACATTCGTTTCCAAGTGGGGTACGTTCAGACAATTAAGGCCAGTATTGATAAGGTTTAAAAAAGTGGTTTCATGGTTATTTTTTATTTGAAATTGTCATAAAATAAGGTCGATTTTAATGTGTCTTGCAATAAACGAGTACTTATTGTGCAGATAAAAACCCAAAAATGTTCTCGTTACAATTTATTTGGTGATTAAATTCGGATTTCGTAAGTGGTCGACGTACACAGTGATGCCTCATACAATAATAGCTATTGTATATAACTTACTTTTTTACAAATGTAATAGTAATAACAGTATCTACATAATTTTTTATACAACGAATTCATAAGTGCAATGTCAATATGTAATCTGTGGTTTGTACATAAAATCCAGTCAAATGGTACTTATGAAATAATAAACTTCAATATAAATTAGTAGTCATGTGACTGGGTTATAGGTACGTACAATATTTCATTTACAGCCAGTTACTTAAATTATTTCGAGAAAAAGAAACAATATTTGAATTTTGAATTTTTTTGAATTTTAGTTTGTAATATGAAACAAATTACTTACATATGTCTAGTTTACAGGAGCTTCGTTACAGTTTCGTGCGTATAATATTAGTTAGCTTTTATATAAAACCTATATAATTAGTTCCTTCTGCTAGTCTAAAGGTGCTCCCTCGCCGGGAGCATTCACGTATAATGTAACATTATAGATACCGACTTTGAGCATTACATTACAATAATACCTCCCAGACTAACGAGCATTTGCGCGTAATGTAATAATATATAGATTCGATTTTGAGCATATCATAGCAAGATGTCAGACATTGATGTTACAAGTTGTATTGTAAGATATTACACATTGTATCATTAGCTTCACTGATGTAATGCTCAGATCTGTAACGTTACATTACACGCGAATGCTTTCGGTGAGGGAGAACTTAAACAACTGTAAATATAACAAAACTATATAGTAAGAAAATAATGTTTAAAGAATCCTATTGCGTCGCTTTATTTATTTTTTAATTATACTAAGTGTAACTTAACGGGGGATGAGTGATTCTAGTCATTTGAATCTAGTCTATGGTATCTAGTCTCTGGAACCTAGTCTTAGAGTAAGTTTGTGTATAAAATTATTTTTGTATTGACCAGACAAAATGGTGTATTTAATAATTATTGTATTGTATTGACTCTAGTACCCTAGCACGGAGTATGTACCTAATTAGATAAGTAGTCGCTTGTACTGCCAATACCTACTGATAATCGGATATTCCCTAGCTAGAAAGTAGATGTAATTAGGAATTTAAATTTTATGAATAGGTCATTTTCAATTGAATTTTATTCGACAGTAATTCTGAAAAAACTAAATCATTTATTTGTATTTTTTTAAATGATAAAAATACCATAATATATAGTACGATCAACAATGTAGGAATGCTACTTTTTTGTAATCTTTTAAATTGAATGAATGACCTGTTCGTGAAATTAAGCTATTAATTTACATTGGATTTAATTGGAAAGTTATTCCTTATTAGAATGTAGTTATAACTAAAATTAAGCCTCCATTACTTCCATATGTTCTAATTTCTATAGCAAACTTATTATCAAATCTTTTTATAAGTACAAAAATTGTGAAATAAAGTGGAATTAGTAAGTCTAATAGTAGATGGCAGGCACACCTCACAATACCTTAAGAATTCAACCAAGTAAAACACCTTTTTAAAATATACAAGTAATGTAGGCTTTGTAATTAGCAGTAGGTATCTACGTCAGTTTAATGTAAACTTTAGTGCCGACTTCTCTACATAAAGTTATGTATTAGGGAAATTACTATTTTGCTTTAAGAGGGAAAGAAAAGGATAAATTATTAATTGAATACTTTTTTTTTGAGAGGGAAAATCATCCAATCTCTCGCCTTGGGTTAAGCGAGACGGTGTGTCAGACTCTTACTGACTAAAACCACACCGTTCCTACTCCTGCTCTTCGAGCCGGTGCCCCGGCAACCCGTTAGGCCTTCCGTGGCTACGTATAATTAAATTCTTAGTACTGAGTTTAATATAAATACCGAAAACAACTCATAAAATGTGATTCTGGATTCTGGTTGGCGATTTACGACTCTATGAAATTGGCACTAAAGTTTAAATTAACTTAAGTATTTATTACCTTATAGAATAGAATAATTTTTCATTTCAATATTAACTTTTTCTTTTTTATAGTCTTTTCCCAAAAAGTGTTTAGCACTCAGCACGAACTTTTAAAAAAGAGGAATAATCGCAATAACTTCCATAGAAAATTAATGTGAATCAAAAATATTGATTTTATATTTGGTAATCGGTTGGTTGGTTAATGTATTTGGTAAAGAATGGTGTATGTGATCGGTCAAATGTTATCGCGATGTTACTTCTCATTCACTTAACGTTTTTTAGCATTGTAGTGTAGACCAATTTTTCTTACACTTCTAGTTCACAAGTCAATTACTGCCTATCGATTTAAAAGGAATTCAAAAGTTTGATGATGTAACATTCGAACCACAGAAGAATAAAAATAAAAAAAATAATGTTGACTTTTGAATTCCTTTTAAATATCGAACACTCAAAACCTGTACCAAAAGACCAATGTAGAAGAATGTTCTAGAGTTGCTAGTGGATAAAAAAAAATGATTTTAGTGGTAGTAATACTATGCAGGAGTCTTAAAACACGCACAAATTAGGTAATTGACCAGTATTTTTCAAAATATTTCTGATTCCCGTAGATAAAAAGATAGAGGTATTGTGCTAGAAACTCCATAGCTTGTGATTGTGATTCCACGACAATGCTGCTAACGTTAGTAGTGATTTGTGGCATCGAATGAACATTTTGGTGTTTAGTTATAAGGCCTCGTGTTGGTTCTACATTGAGTTATAATCTCTATAATAATGTTAGTCGATGACAATTAATTTTTCAACACCAAGATGGTTTAAAATAATCATGTGTATGGTGAAATATGGATGATGTTTTTAACCTTCTTGACACTCTCTTGGTAGCTGACAACGGTAAATTTATTTTCAGTTAAAATGATTTCAATGGATGGTCAATCAATGAAAGTAATATTAAACAGATTTATGTTGTAAATAAGGTAGGAATTTGAGCCATAAGAGCAGTCTGACTCAATGTGGAACAATCACTGAGAGAATTTACCCAAACAGGGGGTAAGTCAGAGCACGATGGAAGTTACAAATTTGAATAGGGATAGGCTTGTATGTAAAATTGTCACGAAAGTGTCAAATAGGTGGGACGATTATGCAATATTAATAGTTTAATATGAGTTTATAACATAGAATTTATCTTATAATGTGTAATATATAATTCAAGTACCGACAAACCAAATCTCGCATAAACTTAATTGTTTAGTCCCTAATAAATACGTTGTAGGTAATAATTAAAAGAAACTTGAGACTATACACAGAAAATAATAATTAAACATAAACGCTACATTATTTGGACATAGTTCTCTTGTTCACCAAAAGACATTATTATTTAATTAGACAGAAATCCATATAATTACTGCTCAAAATAAAAAACAAATACTTAAATAAGCTGAAACTGAATAAAAGAACAACGCCAGCTTTTAAATATTATTCATTCAAATATTCGATTTATTTTTTGTTAATCATAATTTAATTGTAATCCCGTATTATTAATATCAATTAATTATAAAGAAAATTGGCTTTCAGAGTGATCTCAAAAATCTAGTCTTTAGCGTATGTGAAATAAATATAATTATAAATATTGTACTTAGGTAAAGAAATACAATACGCTTAACTAACTAAGGTTTAGAGAATATTTATAAATGTAAATAGGTTTTCATAATGTGCCTGGCTTTTTCAATTCTAGTCTGCGATCTCTAATTTTTTTCATAATTTTCAACCAATGAAAAACGTCACTTTCGGTTAAGTTTTATCTTTTGATACTTATACACAATTGGTTATTTTCCTTAATCAAAGATAAATAATTTCGACTGTTCAATACAATTAAATTCACACTTTCATTAATTGATTTTATGATCAACTTAGTTTTAGTAATTTTCCAGAAAATAAGTACGCTGTTTGACGCGCTAAAAAATGTGACGTCACAATACACAATCTCGTACAAAGTTCAAAACTGTCGTGTTTGACAGTTCGAAAAAAATATGCAATTGGACTACAAAATCTTTACGTCTATTAAATTTAAATTCTGATTATTTTTTAATTAATGATTAATTTTAATTATGTTTAGTTATGTAATTAAAATGTAAAGTTTTTATGACGTTTCGCAGACCTTAATTGCAGGGTTGTTTGGGTCGTTCTAATATATTTTGTAATTAGTTTTAGTATGTGCGTAGGTAATTAATGTAAGACTTGTATAAAATAGGGTTAAGATGAGACCACGTCCGAGACTGTGGCGAAGACATTGTAAGCTAGCTATGTACATATATATGTACTTAATACCTTTTAACTGTAGTAAAAGACACTGCCCAAGAATTGATAGAATGAAGTAACTAATAAATGAAAATATTGTACAAGTGGCACTGCTTAAGTAACTGATGACCTTCAAGAATAGAGCGTATTCATTTTGAAAAGGCCTGCAACGCACCTGTGACTCTTCTAGTATTGCGTGTGTCCATGGGCGGCGCTGATCGCTTACCATCAGGTGATCCGTCCGTCTGCTCGTTTGCTTCCTATACCATAAACAACTGATTTCAAGACGCTTGTTTTGTGTAATATTTTGAGAAACAAACAAATCTGTGATCGTGATTAATTTCCTTGTACTTACATTTTTATTATGCCATTGTTTTAATTTTGTACAAATAATAATTCTTCTTAAATTATTTATTCGAGTACTTAGTGATAATCCAGGAATTTAGTATATAATAAAATATTAGGAGCAATAACTTGTCGTCGCATATCGTAAAATTAAAACTTGTAAAAATTATATCTAAGTACATAATGTAATATTTAAAAAGAATTGATGGTGATGTACCTAAGTATTGCGAAGTAGGAAGAGTTTTTTGAAATTAAAAGGTGAATAACTCTATCGTCGTTTTATTATAACAAAGTAACAATTTGAACCTTTAATTTTTTTTAATCAATTAGTATGTATGTACTACTGAATCACTGTTAATTCTAATATTTAAAACCACTCTTCTTGAACAAGAAAACGACAGGTAGCAATCGTGGTAGTTATCAAGTAGCAATAGACAACATATATATGAACTTAAAAAAAACACAACCTTTTTGCTACCTTAACATTTGACATCCTTATACTACTGGACATTTGACACTTAAAATAAAAAGAGAAATAAAGTAAAAAAACAAGGCATTTGTGACAAGTAGATAATTTTGGTAATTCGACATGATAAATTAATAATTATTAACCAAATGTAATCGAAATTTTAGTTTCACAACAATATTTTTGAAGATCAAAATTATGTGTTGACGATTTCTTTATTAATTTATTCCCTGAATAGTTTTGTTCCTTGTTTGGTGAGTTTTACAAAATACATAATCTACAAAAAATATTGTGTTTTCTAGCAACAATTCATCGTAAAAAGGATCATTATTTGGTTTCCTGTGATATTTTAACCCGTAGATTGTGATCACTCTAATTCTGTAGCTCAAATCAATACGGTGCGGTAATGCAATTAATTTAAACTGAGATTCTCAATAGATTATCTAATTCTGCTATAAAAATACCTCTCGGGGGTAAGTTTAGGTTTAGCACCCACAATATAAAACTGAAGCAACAATTATTTTATTTCTTTATTTTTTTTTCAGATTTATTTTATGTTTGTTAAACTTTGTGAAAAATGGAAACTGCGTGTTTAAGGATAAAATTCACACCTTTAATTCAAAAACCTAAAAACAATTCAAAATGTTGCTTAGAAATTGTACCGGAAGTTTCACACCTACAAAATCTGGACAAACTGACTTGGAAGAAAGAAACAAATTTTATTGAATATACGATACCGATGACGTACAAAGTGATTGTAAAGAAACGGCAAGATAAACATTCTAGTAACAGCGTAGTGAAAACATTTCACTCTTGTGTTGACTTACTGATTTCATCGTCAAAGTCGACAGTGAATCTTGGATCAGGCGATGTAACGAGAATAATAAGCGATACCTTTATTCTAAATAAAACTTTAGAAGGTGGTATAGCCAAAGACGATCTCATTAAGGCTTTAAAAAACGGTCGTATATCGCCCGATTTAATTCCGAATTTCCTTGTTGCTCATAAATCAACTAATACATTTGTAGTGGATGAAACAAGGGAGGAAGAAACAAGGATAGTGGTAGACAAAGGTATCTTTGATTTGCTCCTTCAATATTGTACTGAATGAATACTTTCTAACTAACTAAAATCGCGGGTTACTCACGTGAATATACTGAGAAAAGCTCTACTAGTTCGAACAATCGCGGCGACGTCGCGACGACCGCGCACGCTGCTCATGAGGAAGAACCCCTCTGTGGTTCGAAACTAGTAGAACTTTTCTCAGTATATTTACATAAGTAAACCGCGATTTTAGTTAATACAGGTTCCTTGTTGTGAAAATCTGATCACACAAAATAAAAAGTATTCATTAGTTAATTTAGTTTGTCTCACGATAGTTATTATAAAAAGGATTCTGTACATTTTACTTTAGAACTAAGACTTGTTTTACTGTTTAAGAATTTGCGTAATAAATTAAAATATAACCGTAAATACTGTTTTGTAAATCAATAATATATTTTTCAGCTATAGAAATAATGAAACGAAAATCGGGTACTACGATTTTGAAGACAATATCAGTCGATGAAATGACAAACACCGAAGACTTGCAAGACATTTTTGTAAAAAACATACCAAGCAGTAACGCTATAGCAAACATTTCAGTGGGTACTAACTCAGCTAATTTCGATTCCGCAAAGAAGTTATCTTTATCTCCTATTTGTTCAATTAGCACACAAGACCCTCTACTTATTACTAAAATAGTGGCATCAAAAGCTGTAACCTGCAAGTTTTATGATTCTCATAAAGATTTGCTAGGACTTGGCAGTTCAACTTCACCGAGTGATTTGTCTCACGACAATCAGACAAGTAACGCTGTTTCAACAAGTAACGGCAATTCCAGTAATGCGGTTTCTACGAGTAACACACTTTCTATTGATGTCTCCAGACCGAAGTTGTCGAAACAGTTAAGGTTTAAATGCAGAATACCGCCAGAAATAAGGATAGCCGAATATATGCAAGCTGTTGAACAGGAGATTTTACCCCTAAAATTAATGCTCAGCGAAATAATTTGTAAGTGTTCTGCTCTTGGAATAACATTTGGCAGCAAAGAGCCTTCAGAACAAAGCTTGGTGGATAAATCTGTTTCTACTTATACTGTTCCAGATATTACAACATCTGAAGAAATCATTAAATCAAATCGTGTTGTTTATTCTTTTGTGTTTGACGGATAAAAATTAATTTATATATTTATTAAATGTTATTTATTTCTACGCTTTTACGTTCATTAATAATTTTTATAGCCTAGTGGTAGATAGTTTAAATTACATCAGGTTTAGATTAAGTATAATTAGTTGAGTCTTGAGAATTTAGGACAAATTATAGATCGTGCGATGTGACAAAAGTGGTGGTGGGTTTGTTTCTGTAAAAGATTCTTAAAGCGGTTGTTTTTGTAGCTTCCCTCAATATGATCACTCAAACAGAAGTAGTTGAGCAAATTATGCAAAAACTAGCATTTGAAGTAGAAGCAGTTCCCAGAAACAAGTCAGATCATGTTACCAGTGTCTCTAAAAGCACACCATTGAATGTAAAAATAAGAGTAAGGAAAAAAGACGAAGATACAGCAGAAGAATACGTAACAACAACTACAAAACACATGAAAGGTTTACAAAGAGTGCGACTAGTGAGCAGTGATGAAACGATCTTGAATTTCGATGTTTTCATGGAAGCAGAATTTGAAAAAAAGCCGCCTCCGAAGAAAATTCGTAAACAAATTTTCGAGATGTTAAAACCAGGTATTCAAGTACCTATTATCATTTTATAAATAAAAAAAGTTTCGATTCATCAAACATTTAGCCTTTTATTCTATTTAACCTAAGTACATTATATTTTTTCGTGATTACAGGGGTATTTTTAGGAGCATTGGAAGATGATGATTACACTCACATACCTAGTTCCTCATACAATGCTAACATATATGAACCAAGTCAAACAACTAAATCAGATGGTACATTAAAGCACACATTTACACTGTCTAAAAACGTGTATCAAGATTACACAGTCTCTGCTCAATCAGGAGAACAAAAGTATTTTTTTGGCAAATGCAAACCAGGTTCATCTTTTCACTTAATTTTCATAACTTTTATTCAATGTACAAAATTATATTTTTATATAAAATTTTACACTTTTTCCATTCAACAGGAGGATGTTTAGACCCACCTTTTAGTGAAGATACATATTCTTATAAACCAACTATGAAACCAGATCCTGAAAAAATAATAGCTGATAAAAGTATTTTAAATAAAGAAAAGACACCAGAAAAGGAAGTTGTTGAAAGCGATACTGATGGTAATAAACAACCGATACTTCGCAATCGCGAAGACTCTAAAAGTGGAAGACATAGTTCAATATTTGATGGCAGCTTCTTTAAGAGAAAACGGAAGTCTAGTGAACAATCCACAAATACACAACCGCCAGAACAAAAGGATTCAGTTGTTAACATTTTCCAAGGAGACCCATTGGTTAACTCCACAAGTGGTCATTCCAATTCTATTATAACTTACCCTCCAAAAATTTCTAGTGATTTAAAAGTTAATGAGGAGAAAGTTAAAAGTCGGAGTCCCAGTGAAGATAAACCAAGAAAATCTTTCAATGAACATTCAGAATCTTATTTTATTCCTCCAAAAGGCATGAGTCGGGATAAAGACAATGATAAAATTAATCAGAATGAAACAAAACGTCGTTCATCTGACAAAAATGCACACAAGGAATTTAAATTTCCTGGACTCATTCCCGTTCCTATTCCAATTCCAATACCATCTACTAAACCAAACTATGAAAATAATGCACCAACCGATCAAGTTTTAGCTCCCAATGATAACAAAAATACAAAAGAATTAAATTTAGAACCAAGTAAACAATTACCAATCGAAATGAAATCAGTAGGTACTCAGACATCTCTTCAATTGCAAGACTCATCTACAGGAGACACTGCAGTTGATCCCATCCAGTCTTTTAAAGTAGTTCCTTTAGATGTCACTGACGTTGGTCAACCACCAAATAAAGATGCGGATACAGAATCAAAGTCTCCTAACATAGACGATTTACAAAAACAAGAATCAAAGGAATTATCCAATCCAAGGATATATCCAATTGTACCGTTAATTCCAATCCCTAAAGATTCAAATTTGGAAAAATCTGAGAGTACGGAACACGATGTTGTTGAGACAATGCCGGAACAAAGTGAGCCAGAAAAAGATATAAAGTCACAAAGTAGTAGTGATAATCAAGAAGAGTTAAATAAAGACAACCATCCTCTCAAACCGATCCCTAAAGATATAATAAATGAAAATGAAGCAGAGGTCAAAACTAATGAATTAGACATAAAACAAAAAGAATCAGAACAAAGTATGCCAGTAACAGACAATAGGAGTACAGACACTCAAAAACCATTATATACTGATACGTCTGATGGGAAAGCAAGAGAATCCATCCCTGAAGACATAACACAACCATATATCGATAACAAACATTACGATGAAAGCAGAGATTCCGAAATAGATTTAGATGAAAATAAAATTGAGACACCCGAAGTCTTCGAAAGTGACACTGATACAGCAAACGATCTAACAAGTATATCATCTACTGAACCTACTTTTGAGAGTGAAAACAAAAAAGATGAGATATTTCCTAGCGGTAATGATAAAAACTATATAGCAGCACCGTTAATAATCGAAGAAATAACCACTCCACCAGATAAAGATGCTAATAAGAAAAAAGATTCAATTGACGATCACCGGGAGGAGAGCAAAGATAACATAACTGATCAATTTCCTACTAATATTCCTCCAAAACTTCCAAAGATTCCAAAAGTTGACAAAGATAACAGAAAGCGTTCTGGTGATTCTGATGAAATAATTGTAACAAAACCCATTTCAAAGTCAGAAGAATCAGTGAAACCAATTTCGTCTTTAATGAATATAGAAAAAATTGATACTCCTGATGAATGTGTATTACCTGTAAATATAGACAACAACGTTAAAATAATTACTAAACCACCAAAAGTCCTGACTGAAAGAACAGATTCAAACGATAACTCTACAAACGAAATTACTAAAAGCATCGATACTACAGGTATTCCAATATTATCTCCTGATCAATCAGCGAACACAGTAAGAAGCGCATTAAAAAAAGACTATATTAATGTAGAATTAGGTTTCTATAGTCGTCTAAACGACAAAAATGAACGAGTTATTACAACGTTCGATACTAAACATGCGCCAACTCGATCACCGAATGATTTGGTAACGATAGTTAAATCTCAAATACGGATTTCTTCAAACGAAATAAGGATTCCTGTAGATGCGGAACATGACATGTCTATTCGAATCAAAAAACCTAACATTAACCAACGTGTTTCTATTAACGAATCTAAATTCTTGCCTGATAATGTTCAAGTGACTAAACCGAAGTCCATTGAACCCGATGGTAAGTAAATATTTTTATCGTTACTTATTAACAATAATGTGTATTATTCCTAAATGTTCTTCATATTAATTGCTTCAGATGGGGAAACTGTCAGTCCAAAAACAAACAAATCTGATGAAGGCGCCAAGAACGGTGAACTTGAAATTAGCATAATAGAATTCTATGAACAGGAATTAATTCCATTACAGTTAATTATAAGGAACTTAAGAGATGAAATTGATGTTTTAGCGGCACAACAATCGGTTTTTAAAGATAAAATATTTTGTACAAACAAAACAAAGACCCGAGCACCCCATTCAAATAAAAAATGTTTTGGGTGTCTGAAAAAATAAAGATTAAAGAGGTTGTGTTAAGAAAAGAAATAAATCATGTTTTCTCAAGAATCAAGATAACAGTTATTGAATTAAATACGTTTAGACACCAAAATAACTTGTTAACAAAATGTACTTATCACATTTCATGACTTTAGTTCTAATTCATTTGGATATCTTCTATAGTATAACTATAAACAGTTAAATTCTAATAACACAAAAATACTCAAGTATTTGCTTGCTAATAATGGTTGCTAATAATTATGAGATTTTTATAAAAAAGTTTTAGTAAAATTATAAAATAGTAAAAATCGAAAATGTTCAATAAAAACTCACTCTCTAACTGAAACGTCTTTCATAGTGGTCGCTTCATATATATTTTAGTTCCTTATTAGGATAAAAGGTGCTGTATCATTCATCAACATAAAAATATTATAATCTACAATTTGTTCTACTGACACTATCACAGTGGAATTCTTGATAAATACGCCGGTTTAAATAATTCAGTTTTATGGTTATTATACAGCTTTGTACTGTAACACTCGTAGAAATCGGACTTGTCTCCATTCAGATGTGTAGAAAAATGCCTGGCTAACAAATCTACCTGTGTGATCCAAATTTCTTAATTTTTTTTTTTTAAGTTTTGTGTATACAAAATGCAAAATAATATTAAGACGGTTACCGAGAGTGTAGGAAAGGAAGATAGTCATGCAGCAGACCTGGATCAAGCCTTAGCTGTAGCAGGTAAGCCATTAAATACAATGTAGAAGAAGAATTTGACATCAATATTTTCGTGTGAATTACACTTCCTCTATACTTACTTACTCTTTGAATTACACAAAATAATGTTTACTCTGAAAAATAAGGAATGGTTTTTATTATTATGCAGTATTTAAATATTGAGGTAATGACTGGTAATGAGATAATTTATGATCTTATTACACACATAATTCAAGTATATTAAAACTTTCGTGAGGCATACTAAATTAATTATTATGTTTTCGGCTTACTCGCGTATTTGTTTGACGAGTAACTCGACGAGTTTCAGCCATGCTACAGGCTCATATTCATCAAACAATTACGTGAGTAAGCCGGAACATCAACATATTCAACATACTTACATACGTTTATTAACCGTTTTATTTAGTCCGAAAATGTTTAAAACATTTTAAGGTCGAACATTTCTGTTACAAACGGAATTATGAGCCATTCTTAGATAGTACCTGCTATAAACTGAGTTACGATTGCAACACTTATCAGTTAAATTGATATTGAATGACAATAATTTTCTTGATCCATAATAACAATAACATGTGGTTACACGCCTCGCTATCTGAATTATAAATAATCGAGGATTACCCAATACGCTGCTATCAAGAGTCCAGAAAGTACTTCACACTTATATCTTTGTTATTCTATGAATCATAATAAACGATACTTTTATAGGATACTAGCGGCCCGTCCCGGCTTCGCACGGGGGGACTTAAGATTTTTTACATAGTTTTACGTTTTATTTATATTTATTCTCAGTTTTTTATTTTATTTAGGAAGTATTTACCTTTTGAAAATATTTTTCCGGACTTCATTTACTTATTTCATTTATTTATGAACAATTCATCTATAGAGCATTTTTGTACACCTTTAACTATATGCTCAGCGCACGCCACGGAAGGCCTCAGAAACGATACTTTTCCCCCGTTTTTAAAACATTTTTGGTTACTGCTCTACAACTATAGGACCTAGCGTGGTATTATATAGCCTATGTTACTTCTGAATAATGCAGCTTTCTAATGGTGAAAAAATTATTGCAATCGTTCCAGTAGTTTTTGAGTTTATTCATTACAAACATACAAAAATACAACAATTCAAATCTTTCCTCTTTATAATATTAGTGTAGTATATGTCGGTAAATTATTGTGTCAACAGATCACCTGATGGGAACAATTGACAAAGTTTTATTTTACAGAACCACGATAATCCAAGTTTGCTGAGAATATTTTTATCTGCATGTAATTTAAAAATCGATTCGTTTTATATGTATGAATAATCTTAGTTATTTTTACTGCTGTAGAAAACATGCATTATTGAAGTAATTTAATGTTAGATCTACTTCCGTAGTATGCAGTATACTTTCCTATCGCTACGTTAGTAAAAAGCCTAGTCTAAAAAATCTTCAAAAAAATAACGTTTTTGCCATAAGCTTTTTTCTCATAACATTATTTGATTCTTTTTCCAGGTTTAGGGTGGTACAACATCAAATATTCCTTAATATTGGCCCTGTTCTTGATAGGCGCTATCGTGGAGCCAGTCGGCTACTCCTTCGTGCTACCAGCTGCGATGTGCGATCTAGAGATGACTGATAGCCAACGAGGATTCATTGCATCAATACCTTACATAGGTACGCAGCTTATAAAGCGCATTTAATAAATAAGCAAAATAACATAAAACTTTTCAGACCTCACTATATATATATATGGTTATTTCAAATGTGTTCTAGTTAGTTTAGAATAGATATATAGAAATGAAAAAGATGTTAGTTCTTTAATTATTTCAATTTTTTTTTGTTATTGCCTATGACTTTGTACTGAGATTTGGAGATCAATATATAATTTATTTATTTATTCATATTGCACAATGTACATATAATAAGAAGTTTACATACAACTAATTCAGTACATTACCCTGTTAGGGCGCAGTAATTTAAAACGTTATAAAATTTAATGTTAGCTGAAATTTATAACTATTTCTTAGAGCTATATATTAAATATTCTATAGTTTTTTTAAGGGATTTAATCACATAGTGATAATGTCACCCCATGACTTACAATAAACTTATCTATAATCTAAATATACTAAGTATATCTTATGAACTACCTAAGCTTACATGTACATACTTAGACAGTTGAACCAGTTCAGTTAACAGTTAAACCAGTACTTTAAACAGTTAATCCTGTGCTTCAAATTCAAATTTAAATTTTTTTATTGCATATCATATGTACAATTGTTGGTGTTACATGAGGTACAGTTTCAACATGAAACCCGGCTAGGGCACAGCATCATATGGAGCAAAATATAATCTAACTAAACTACTATTAATAGGTATTATATTATTCTTCTTCTTTCTTCTTTCTAACTAAACTACTATTAAGTCGTCGACCACCGTTATTATAGACACAATTAAAGAACAATAGGTTGCGGTCACCGGTACAAAACCGGTACTCGACGAGTTAATAGTTATTATATTATTCTTCTATACTTCTGTGGTCTAGCGAATAGAAAAGATTACAAAGTCCCTCTCAAGCCTAAATCCATTATACATTTTCTTCCAGGTGTCGTGGTCACATCATTTCCATGGGGCTACCTAGTTGACACTCGGGGCCGTAAGAATATGGTCGTAATCGCATCATTCCTCGCTGGAGTATTTGGCATAGTGGCTGCGTTCATGCCAAACCTTATAACTTTTGCGATTGTAAAGTCTATCTCAGCAATATGGTAAGAATGCAGATGCTTTTAAAATCTAACTATCATTGTCACAAATCGTAACAAAACCACAAAATAGTCTAAGATTAACATACTTTCCTAATGACGTGTTTCTATTTTTCTATAACTCGTAAATAGTGTATATGTTTCTTTACCACCTTAACATATAAATTACTGTCGGTCAGCATAGCCTGCCCGGCGGCAGTTCCCTACACGTTTATCGGTGAGATCCTGCCTGCCAAGAACAGGGACGTCATGCTATCCATCACTAATGCTCTACAAGTTAGCGGAACACTTGTTGTCCCATGTAAGTAACATATCGAATTGTTTCACTTATAATTATCGGGAGCATCTGATAAAAAATAATTGGCGCTTCGACAAGATAAGCCAAGCGAAGAGCAAAAGCGCCCTTAAGCTCTGCGTGCCTACGTAATAAATGTTGCTACGCGCTACGACCTACGCACTACGGACTACGTGCTACGAACTACGCGCAACGACATACGCACTACAACCTACGCTTTACGGGCCCCGTATCTGTATTTATTAACTTAAGTGTCATGTAAAATCTCTAATTTCTAACTCGAAAATGGTTTTGTAGGATTAAAGTACCACGCCTCGTACCTACTAAAAACAATTGGAAACTTAAAGTCCATCAAAATCTGAATACATTCAGATTTTTTTCTCTCTTTATGTCTTTGAGGAATAAGTTAAGGTCGTGTCGTACTTTAAACATAAATCCTTGTATTTCAGTACTGGCTTGGGCTATACTGCCTCTGGATTTCCGAATAAACTTCGGCCTGTACTTGTTCAGACCGTGGAGGCTGCTCAGCCTATTATACGCAAGCGTCTTCGTCATAGCTGCTGTTCTCATGATGTTTGGTCCTGAGAGTCCAAAATTCTTAGTATCTCAAGGAAAAATGGATGAAGCTCTTGAAGTTCTACAAGACATCTACATTGGCAACAAGAAGAAGGGAGCTGGTGAATTTCCAGTAAATATAATTTTCTGATTTTACACCATTATTTTTACTAAATGGGCTATAAGGCAAAGCCCATCTGATAGTAGCACTAGAAGTATCACAAATGCGTTGCGGACTATATTGTGGCATATTTTTGGAGAGAATTCCACGAAAATGCGGATAATAAATTACGTCATCATTTCACTCTTATATTATTTGCGTGTCGCATTAATAATACCCTTAATAAAATCCACATTAATCTTAATTGCCATAAACGGTATTACGAAATAAATAATAAACATATTCATGTTAAAAATTGTTGGCACTATTTTAATAAACATCACGCCTTTTATCCCCGAAGGTATAGGCAGAGGTAGACATTACAGCATTTAATGCCACTGTACCTCTACAATGTAACACCCCCTATGTATGTTATGAGGCCCATGTAATAGGGGGTAGGCCTATTGCCATATACCGGGCCCAACTCCAGGCTCCGTGCTACTAGTTACTGAGAATTTTTAAAAACCCTGTATTACTTTGCCCGACCCGAGAATCGAACCCGAGATCCCTTGCCCGATAGGCGCA